GGCCTTCCAAATACCGTTTCGATTCCTAACATCACTGAAGAGACATTAATTGTCGAAATCCGGATATGGTGTACAAATTTTTGCACCTCATTTTTGCGGTATACCATCTTTCCCGCAAGTTTTTTGTTTTCTATTTGGTATTAGATTAAAATTAAGATCCATTTTGTTACATCTGTGATTCGTTTATTTGGCAATCGCCATGGCAGTCAGCAGGGTTTAAGAACATCCGTTGTTCGACCTGCTAGTCAAATGTGTTTTGTTAAAATATACTTTTTCACTTTTTGGTCTTTTGGAAAATGTTGTTTGTGCTGTATTTAGACCCCTCTACCAAGACATTTGTTTTGCATGCACACGTATAAAAATTGCGGTTTTTATCCAACGCAATCATAGGTTTGAACGTTGTTTTCAATTTAGACTTGTTTATATATATATATATATATATACTGAACAACTCAAAATTTCCCTTTTCGTTTTCGTTCATTATCACATTTATTTCGCTCGCGTTTTTCATTCAATCCAAATTTAGTTCATTTCTTTACCGTTCATTCCGTCTTTCGTTCAACTCCACTCCGTTCAACAACAAAATTGACTCATTCTAAGCGTGTTGTGCTGTAAACGTGTGGCACTTGCCGTTTCATTTATGAACATTTACAACACACATGTATGTGTAAACGATGGTACTATTCTGAATCAAAAATTAATTCAATTTGTTTCATTGCCATATTTCGTACTTTATAATCACTACATTAAGCGTATTTTTCTACATCAACAACAATGACGACCCTCACAACGATCATACTGGTTATACCAGTTTACATGCACTTAAATATAATAACAAAATTGAAAACCGTTAAATTTATGTACAATTTAGGTGTCTATGGCCTATAAGACCGTTTTTTATAAATATATTATGTGAGACTGTGTTATTATCAAGATGAATATATTGTAAACAAGTTCACCAAGTATGGTGGCTATATCAATACAAATACAGTAAAACCTGCAAAAACCGAAGCCTGATGAAACCGAATTACACTTTAAACCGAAAAATCCAAAAGCTCCACGAAACTTCCCTATTAATTAAGATTAATTCAACCTGAAAAAACCGAATCCTGCCGATACTGAATTCCGAACGTTTTTTGGAAGACTCGTTAGTGAATTTGTATTAAAAGATTACCTGTCAAAATAAATCGATAGGTATCAAAACAATGTAAGTATATTACAATTATTTGTACGAGTATTTAAACAAACACATGCTGGCAAAGGGTCCCCTAGGGTATTTCAAGTTTAATATAATAATTAGTTGCTACAGTTCATTACAAGACACCTAATATTGATAAATATGATAAAAATTTGCATAGCCGAAATGAAATCTGATTTGAACAGTGAATGTACGGGGAAACACTTAATTGAATTAGACGACGACGTAGACTTGCGGGAATGTTACTTAGCGGGATCGGACATAAATGATACCGGCATTTTTGATTTGAAAATAAGGAGCTAGTATCGAGCTAAACCAAGGACTTGCATTTGAGTACTATCTTTATCTGCATTTATAAAAAAAAAAAAAAAATCATATGTTTCATTTTATTATATTTTACATTGAAACCAACATGACACACTTGTCGTCTATTGTGTCACTTAGTATCCGTCGTCAATTAGTGTCAGAATGATTTTAAACTGTCCACTTTTATTCACCTCTACAATCCGAGCACCTGTAAAAACAAAACACCAAGTTCCGAAGGTATTCGATTTGATAGGTGTCACTGTATATGATATTTGAAATTATTATACTTCATGTTAAAATGCCATATTTTGATTGGCTAATACGAGGGTGTTAATTTACTCTATTATCCTTCATGGAGACGCTTGACCAAGTGTGCGCTTTATTAAATACGACTCTATCCTATGGCAAATACTATACTACCCTTCACGGAGACGCTTGATCAAGTGTGCGCTTTATTTAACACGGATGGTTGTTATGTTCAAGACGTCATAGTTTATTATTTTGAAAGTGAAATTTAATCGACAGTAATAACAGAACATTCAATATAATAAATTAAATAACACATATCTGAGAGGGTCTTTCACTTCATTTCACACTACATGCAGCATGTGAGTATTTTTGTGTAATGTATTTTATTGGCAAGCTATATATATTACAAGCTGTCTACTTTTAAGTTTCTCTTTAATAATTCCCATACTTTTGGACGTTGCTAGATAATTGTGTCTTTGGCCATCATATCTAATGTCCATATTTTATGTTCAATTCCTGTGAAACTGTGTTGTTATGAGTTAATTTACAACTACTGGGTCAATGTCGCTCCTGGTGAAGGTTTACTTCACGAGGGCATCACCAACACAGTCTTCAGTATTACAGTAGTGACACGAATAATCATTAATTTAGGAATAATTATAAATTAACTTAATACAAAACTTATATTTTTTTTTTGCGTACCCTTCCGGCGTACTATTGAACTATTGAAAATATGACTGGTAGCTAAATTGTTTACTCTGACAAGTTGCACAATGTGTACTAGCTCTATGTGTTTTGTCAGAGTGACTTTAGTGTTATCTGAGTACCAACAGCTGATTCGATCCGGTGCTTACAAATATCAACTATATAATTTGAACGAATACAAAATAGATGTAATTTAAGTAATAACAAATTGCATTTATTAACTTACTGTTACTAAGAGTTTTCTTTCAAAGTCGGGCACTATTTATCTCTTGAGACCTTTTTAACTTTAAATGATAATTGTGTGCAACAACATATTTTTTTCTATGCTGACATATCTTCTAATGATGATCATAATAATCGAAATAGTTCTGTTTTGCAATTAAACCAAACAGTTTCCAGGTATCATACTATACAGGAACCGGATTTTCAGTAGTTGTCGTTTGTTGGAGTGGTTAATAAGTGTTTCTCGTTGCTAGTTTTTTTTTATGTAGATAAGACCGTTGGTTCTCTCGTTTGAATGGTTTTGCACTAGTGAATTTGAGGCCCTTTGTAGCTTGCTGTTCAGTGTGAGCCAAGGCTTCGTGCTGAAGACCGTACTTTGACCTATAATGGTTTTTCTTTTACAAATTGTGACTTGAATGGAGAGTTGTGTTATTGGCACTCATACCACATCTTCTTATATCTAAGTAGTATACGTTTACCCTGAAACTTTCTACTCTTAAATATTTCGTGGTTGCATTGTAACTAAGTTAAGAAATATGAATAAATTGACGCGGTGAATTTAGGTAGAAATGAATACGACCATAAGTAACCAATAAAAATTACATACTACAGATATCGCACGAATTGACCTTGACTATTTTTGTGAAATAAATTGTTAACACTTCAAATTTATCGTTAATATATAAAATATTAGTTAACATAAGACGGTTGTTACATTTTACTCCTTTTTGATGTTGGTGTTAGCAAATATAATTTGTACTTTGTCTGCAAACACTTAGACGAGTCTTCTGAATCTAAACAGGATCATGTGCTGTTTAAATCGGAATAAGTTTTATTAGGTTGAGTATTCAGACCTTTTAAATGAAATGATAACATTAATGTTATATTTTACAAAATTTTGACTACATGTTATTTGACAAACCAAAGCATATTGCATTGAGACAAATAAATCTTGATGCAGATCTAAATCAAACGCATCATGCACTTCCTGTAGATAGAGTGGTCTTGTATTTTATATTTCAAATGTCTAAATCAAATTGGTACTGTTATATACAGACAAAACGTCTGTATATAACAGTACCAATCTGATTTATACATGGTTAGTGTTCGTTTCTAATTCGAATCAAATCAACCAAAAACAGTCATAACTAGTAACTCTTGGTCAGATGTAATAAACTGCTACGTTCCAAAGCTAGTAGTTTGTAAATATATAACAATATTTCATTTCGAATGTTAAGTTAATGCAAATTGGTAAACTATATATGTAACGAGTAGCTTTGACGTAGACAGTGCATGCTACCTTTGTTCAGGTGATTTATTAAGCATATCAGTAAGTCTGGGTATGTGCTCCCCCACATTTGTCTGCAGTGTACTTGGACATATTTATGTTTAGAATTACACGAGCTGGGTAGGCAATGCGAAATAAAGTAACCTTATAGGTACAAATTATACTGTACGAATAACGTAAACAAGAAAGAAAAAGAACATTAAACAGTAAACAACAGAAAAAAAAACCCAACTAAATATTGAGACAACACAAACCAAAACAAAGAACAGAATAGATTGTATGTGCTCCAGAAAGACAGCATATCCTACACATCACGCGACACCTATTGTGTTATTCCTATGAAATCATTGCGAATGTCAATAAAGTGATTAGGAATTATCACATATTATATTTGATCTTTTATGAAGTTATTGTGTGTCCCCATGTTACTGACAGTTCAACACATTAAACCCATTGTATATGGAATTATCGACACTCATTTTGCATCAAACTATTAATATTAAAAGACACATTAACCTTGTTTACTAACATATAGTAGTTTGAAAGGCGAACACATATGAAGGTTAATTTATTATTTGTATCTCAGATGTTCAAATCAGAACTTGAACTGCGTTCTCTTTTGTGAAAGTATTTAGTTTCCTTGTTTCCTTTTTTAAAATACAATCGTGTACTTCCGACAAATTATTAATCTAAATGAGAAAACATCTGGCAGAAAATTACCATTCAAAGACAAGTTTGTATAGTTCATGATACATTTTTATAATTTGTATATGGAATGCAAACAAAACCTTTGAATTGAACTTAAATTACGAAGTCGTAAACTGATTTGTAAATTATCTACATGTGTGAATGTTTGAATGCCGACTTGTTAAGATGTTAAGTAATTTTAACCATTTAAATGAACAAAAGTGATTAGTGTGTTACGCAAATATGAGGGCTATTTGACATGGCTTTCACCGGTAAGTGTCTTGTAATTAAGATGTTTATGAAATAATTAGAATGATAATCATTATAAATTTTAACCTTTTTCAGCTTTCCATGGAAAAGTTTTGTTTTCAGATTTATCTTCAATAATGGAATGTGATGTTGATACAGGTATTGTGATTGTTCTGGTTCACACTGGAGGGAGTGCAGTGTATGCATTGGATTACGATTACGAAAACAGATACTTGTATTTCACAAGAACTGCATTAGTGCCTGCCATTGTAAGGTATGTAAACGTTTAGAGGGAAATGAGAGAAAACGTATTTAGAATATAATGTCAATCATTTGTCAATAGTACAATCTTCATGTTTCTGATGACGTCAAAGTTAAACAAATATCCCACTAAATACCAAACACGAACAACGCAAAAACAAATCGTGTTTATAAATCATCTGTATGTGATAAATATAAACGCTTCCCTCCTTATTCACAACACAATTGATTTAAATTTTATTTAATATTATAAAGTAACTTTAAAATAAGAACAAGATGTATGCTAGTTTTTCAACATATCAAACAGCAATATACTACTTTATAAAAAAAGTTAGGAAATACATTCGAGTTGCGATGAGCGTTGAAGGTTAAATGTGACTTATGTCATAAAGTTGTGTTATATCACGTATATATTTTACTATATATATTGTAATTCCTGCCCTTATAATTAGTTTCGCTCTATCGCATTGATCAGAAGTAATTTTAAATGTTTCTATAATTTCAAATTCGTGCGTCTATTTTAGTTTAAGTGACATACAACTGTACGCGGTCTTTTTTTTCCACAGGAGACACCTAATCAATACGTTACTTTTTAAATGTAAAATTTAAACATTACTTTGTAATGTGCATATCAATTCTCGGCGTTAGATAGTGTGAATAGCTAGCACCCATTTTCGCTTATTTGCTTTGGACATGTGCGTGTCTCTATGTGGATTTGTTTTCTGTGTGAGGCGAGGTAGTAACTGTTCTCTAATTATGGCGAAGTATACGCAATTGCACGCCTCTGGCAGATTCAGGATAACAACAAACAAGTTCAACGTTAGTGACACAAATTATCTCCCATGATTCAAGAAATAAAATAAAAAGAAGCACGAAAGAGAAATGTCTTAGTGCGGTCTATCATGACTCCAAACTTATACACCTGTGCTGTCTCAAAACCTCGAAAAAATTTCTGAATGACTCCAATTAGAAATCAAAGTATCCGATTGTTAGTAAGCCTGACTCTCTTATTACCCCTGTTTTTTGTTTAAGACACATACTACAATCCGTACGCGCGTTTATGTCAGCATAGAGTAAAAACGCCTTCCAACACAATTATAACTGAATAAAGAAATAACAATCATACAGGAGCCTGTGGTTCAGTGGTTATCACTATAATTGTTTTCGTAAACTATTTGTTATGAATAAGGCCGTTGGTTTTCGTGTTTGAATTGTTTCACATTTTTCATGTCTGGCCTTTTAAAGCCGACTAATCGGATTGGTTTTTTTTTCTCATTGTTGAAGATCGAATGATTGCCTGACATCCACTTCATTTGAACTGTGACGGGCAGTTATCTCATTGGTACTCATACTACATCTCCGGATTTTAAAATTATATTAATAAAAATGCAATGCATTTGCAATATATACATGCGATATTCGTATCGCACTACACTAGGTAAAATCTAATAGAATTATGTTATGAACAGTCACATTGCATTACACAAGGTACATTCTGATAAGATTACATTTGAAATATTATTTTATACACAATGCCATATCATTAAACTATAATAAATTCTATGACACTACACTGTGAATGATCTTGCAGAAAATGCACTAGGTACGTCGATCTTAAAGTACTATGTTATGAGTATGTTTTTTTTAATAAGCATAATATATGCGCTACGGGAAGTTATATCAAAAACTCCGATCTGCTCTTTTTTGTTAAAAAATATATGCGAGTTCTCCTTATTACAGCCATTAAAACTCAAAAGATAAAATTAAAACAAAACGTTAAAAACGTCATGCGTCGGAAGTGCTATTCCGGATTTAAATTCATCTAAAACGATTAAATCCAAATATTTGATAGCCAAGGATGTATAAGAACCGAAACATTTAAAGAGTCATGCAATGCAGATGCAGTTTTCGATCTTTTAGGAAACCGTGCATGTGGATATTTAACAAATAATGATACAAGAAGTATTTTCCTTTGTTACTTTAACTCCATTCAGCAAACATTATTAATATTATGCTTAGTCGTGCAGTTGAAGAAAAGGGAAAGCGATCGAGACATGATTTGTTTGTAAAATAGAATAGCAGAGTTGCGCCATGTGCATGTGTGTGAAAAAACGAAAAAAAGAAAAGGTTTTGATGAAGACTATACTGCACGCAATACCCCGAATAGTATCAGAAAAAATGAGGATGACAAAAATACGAAAATGCAGAAATTTGACGAAAACAAGAGGTGTATACACGATCCCAATATTATATTACTGGTTCATTTAATCTATATACATTTATTCTGTCAACGCTGTGTTGATCTGGAAAAATTCGAACTTGATATTTGATTCGGTATAAAAAATAGAACAAAACAAGCATTACAAAAAGGTGTGGAAACCGGTCTAATATAGGAAAGATGTTTAAGCCTAAACTATTAATTTCACATGCAGTTCATTTATTTGCAAACTAGAATTTGTTGGCGGTAAAATATGCTAAGTTGTAGTTTGTTGATGTGGTTCATAAGTGTTTCTCGTTTCTCGTTTTTATATAGATTAGAACGTTGGTTTTTCCTGTTTGAATGGTTTTACGCTAGTTATTGTTGGGGTCCTTATAGCTTGCTGTTCGGTGTTAGCCAAGGCTCCATGTTGAAGACCGTACTTTGACCTATATGACCTATAATGATTTACTTTTATAAATTGTGACTTGGATGGAGTTGTCTCATTGGCACTCATACCACATCTTATTCTATCTATTATATGACAATCAAGCACAATCCCTCCCCTTTGGAGTTAAGTATCAAACCGTCATAAATTATTTGATAAGAATATAATCCGTATCATGCCAACAATTGGTTTTAGAATGATATTTCCGATGCAAAGACCCTATGAGTGAATCAATAATAATATTAAATATGTCATTCTCAATGACATGAAAACAGTATTGTAACTATATCCCTACTGAATAAGTTTCTTTGAAGGTTTGGTTTGCTTTTGAGGTGAATGCGTATTCTTTTGTGCTTTGTAAATAATATTACCATAACATATTGAATATGAAATACTTGAACGCACAAGACGTCTGCATGTTGATTTATAATTACGAACGATGTCCTTGTACCGGTGATAAAATTAGAAAATGTTTTGACTAGGTTGTGATATCGAAAACCCTGGTGTAATTATTGTTCAGTAATACAGAGATTTATTTTGTTAAAATAAAATACGTTGTTACATACAGGAGCGAATCGAATCTGTCTTCACATGTTTATCTTTTTTTCTCACTCACCTAGTAAGAAATAAAACCCCGGATGAAAAAAGAAACTAATAGGAAAGGACTACTTTTATTATTCTTCCCTTAGTTTATTTATTTTGTATTTACATTGTATCCTAGGTCAAATTTATTTGTTCAGTGTATGTTCAATGGTGTTAATATGTCCTTTGATTGAGTTACTGTGGATTCATTTATTTTCGTGGGTACCAATTTTCGTGGATTGAGATGAACTTGCATTTTCGTGGATAGTTGATTTCGTGGTTTTACCAATGTCTGCATACAACCTTATATAAAATGTGTTATTCGTTGAACATTTAAATTCGTGGTTTATCTATATCCACGAAATCCACGAAAATTGGTACCCCACGAATAATAATGAATCCACAGTAAGCTATTTCAGTTGATATTTTATAGTGTGTCTTTCTATGTTGTGATGCTACACTATTGTTTGAGAGAAGGGGTGAAGGTTTGGTACCATTAAAACGTTTAAACCCGGTGCATTTGTTTGCACCTGTCCTAAGTCAGGAATCTGATGTTCAGTAGTTGTCGTTTGTTGATGTGGTTCATAAGTGTTTCTCGTTTCTCGTTTTTTATATAGATTAACCCGTTGGTTTTCCCGTTTGAATGGTTTTACAATAGTAATTTTTGGGGCCCTTTATAGCTTACTGTTCGGTGTAAGCCAAGGCTCCGTGTTGAAGAACGTACTGTGACCTATAATGGTTTACTTTTATAAATTTTGACTTGGATGGAGAGTTGTCTCATTGGCACTCATACCACATCTTCTTATATCTATACATTTTGAAATATAATATATTTATAACTTTGCTGTTATTAGCTGCTATAACTATATCCTCTTTGTAATCCACACTGAAATCAAATATATCTGAATACACATTTAATTTTAATCCAAAGTTTGAAACAACACAATCACTCATACCGACATCACTTTCTTCGTTTTTTTGAATTCAGATTATACTTTCATCGTCTTTATCCATTTTGAAACACAAAATGCATGTAAAGGTATTCCCGGAAAATATTTAAAGTAGTCCTTACGCACGCAAAAATCATGATACTCATACGCTGTGTCTGAATCTTCTTTTCGGCTTGTTCAACAATATTTTAAGTAAGATACAAACCTCGAACAGTCCATTCTGTAAAATATTGAACAATTGACCAAAATTTTACAGAATGGACTGTGATCGGCTTTTATTGGTCATTTGTGCATTTTTCCTTTGATGTGTCCTCTCTGATAATGTCAGTATCAGTGGATTGGTCGTGATATAAAAAAAATATTGGGTCAGTTCGCAATTAACATGCGCGTGTGCACCGCGTAAGCATCTACTTTCCCCTTTCATTCACAAAATCGCGCATGATTTTTTTTGCAGAAATGCACGAGTTTGTTGGTAAATGAAACACTTGTCATTGTTTGAACGTTTCAGTAGAGTAAGTTTAGCCTTTTTGACCGATTGTTGTGAAAATTTTAACAGAAAATGTATGAAAAACCCGATCAACTTAGGAACAATTGCGTTATCTGTGAGACCATCATATACAATTATAATGAGGAGATCTGGTTTCATTGTCAATATACATGTATAGACAGATATTCATAGAACAAAGAACAAATACGCAAACAAATTCAAATGCGGATATATAAATTTTGAAAAAGGGTGGCCCGGGGGCCCAAACAACTAGACAAATTTTGGTGTGGAAGAGGTAAAAAGTCTGCATTAACTATGAATGTAGCCTTAAGAAGGGATATCCCTAGTCGCTTTCTCCGAAATCTGCTTCGGAAACTAAAGGTGACCACTGGGCCTTCAAAAGTTAAATTTTCTTGGCCGAGTTGATAAATAAATGAACATAACTTTGTACAAAAGCAAGAATTTTAAGTTAAAAGAAATAGACCAAAGTTGAGTAACATCTATTAAAACTTACAGTCAGGCTACAAACTCGTTGCCTCCTGAAATGTCTGCTTACACGGTGTTTCCATAAAATGATTTGAAATTATTGTGATCGTTTTCATGATGAACGCTAAGCGTGTTCTGACAAAATAAATGTAATGTTATCAACCCAACCACCGGCACTAGACGTTCTGTAAATAGAAATAAAATATGGGCAATGGAAGTCTGAATATGCATTTAACTTGCCACTGGACGTTAATGTGTGAAGTGAGCTCTTTTTTAATATATATTTGGACACTATTATCTTCCCATTGGCCATATTTTATTACTATTTACAGAACATCTAGCGCCTGTGACCCAACTAAGTAAACAATATAACTTGTCGTTAAACTTCTAAAATAATGATAAATCTGCTGATTCATATGTCCTCATATCGTATCATCTATGCTGAAGCTTTATGGAAAATAAAGAAATTTGACCTACCGGTATGCTACCATTACATTCGACATTGTTAAAGTCATATCCAAAGCAGCATTAATGAAACGCATACAAAAATTCATTTTCAATACTTTGTGCAAGAGAACGCCATGTTTACTGCAACATGACAAAATTTCAAATGACGTTATGCAGCCTGTGACGTCATGTCGAAAAAAGTAGTTCGTTTGTTATTGTCTCTTTTATTGTATATTAAATTGTAGTGATTTTTATTTTTTCATAACTACATATAAAAAGAATAAAGGACTTCGGGCTCATATGAAATTTTACTGTGATAAAGACAGTATCAAAAAGTACTTTATTCTTTATATATATCCTTTACATAAAGATGAAATATAAAACAAAAACGCTACCTATATAAAATGAATAACACGACTTTATAATTCCTTCTAAAATGGTACATGCCCAAAATAAAGTTGTTTAAAATAAAAACAATACAATACAAATAAAACAAGATAAGGAAAGAAGGAACAAAAAAGAAAAAGAAAGAAAAAAGAAAAAAGAATGAAAGAAAGAACAAAAGAACAAAAGGAAGCAAATACAAGAATGAAAAAAATGACAAAGCGATAAGATAAGTTAAAGATAAAATAAATTAAACAAATAAAAGAGTTAAACAAGGTAAGTATATTTGATAAACATTTCTTATTTCAGAAACTATTTATAATTCATATAGATTTCCATATCCCTCAAAGAACATGACAATACAGACAGTTGTCCACACAGGGCCATATCCAGTAGGAGTAGCTGTTGATTCAGCCAATGATCATTTATACTGGATCGATCATCATATGAACACACTATCAAGATGCAATCTAGATGGAACCAATATAATAGTTTTATCAACTTTGATCAAACCGTGGGTGATACGACTTGATGTTACAAAAAGGTATAGTTAGGAATTGAGTAAGTCTGACGATATTTTGCAAACGGAACTATACAACTGTTTCATCAGACAGATTTTACTTAAAAAAGCAATGACACAACGTTGTGACGACTATGTATGCTAGTAGTTATACAGTTTTATTTCATGCTATGTGATCAAACCATACTTTGCCTCCACAATATGTTTTAATTTCTTTTTAAAATGGCATCGAGTTATATATAGACCATATTTCATTGTCGACCGCTGCTTCTGACCGGAGTTGTCCATTCGTAGCAGGCAATACATAGCTAATTCACGTAATAAGCCATAAATATAAAAAAAGATGTGGTATGAGTGTCACTGGGACAACTCTCCATCCATGCCACAGTTTGTAAAAGTAAACCATTATAGGTCAAATTATGGTCTTCAACACGGAACCTTGGCTCACTGCGAACAGCAAGCTATAATGGGCCCCAACAATGACTAGTGTCAAACCATTTAAACGGGAAAACCTACGGTCTAATCTATATAAAAACGAGAAACGAGAAACACTCATGAATCACAACAAGAAACGACGACTTATGAAAGGTGCAAACAAATGCAGCGGGTTTAAATGTTTAAATTGTAACCAACCTCCATCCTTAGTTGAAACAATAGTGTAACATAACAACACCGAAAGACACACTATAAAATATAAATTGAAATGACTTAACTCAACCAAAAGACATAGTAACACAAGTGAACATACATTGAACGAATAGATTTGATCTATGACACAATGTAAATATGAAATCAATAAAATAAGGGAATAGATGTTAAATAATTTAAAAAAAAAAACAACCATAACTTTGAACAAAATGTCGCCAAATAGAATAATGTACACAGGTAAATGAAATAATTTTGTTGTAAGATATAAAGTATAAATGAGAGAACGGAAATATTTTTTTACAAACAAATCGGTTTCTTGTTCATAGAACGTGAAAAGTTATAGTCATACCAAAAACTTTAAATAACACAAAAACAAAACAAATTGTATCCACATGTTAAATTAACAAGAAAGTACGATTTGAGAATACTCGCAGTTACTGAAAGCTAGTTAAAAGCCAACAACAATTATTAATAAAAATTCATGCATCAGAGACTAAAATCAACTAATACACATCCCAGGTTTATAGTATTTTAACGCCATGTACAGTCAACGAAGACATGACTTGTGCAATGCCAAATAAGAAATTAGTGGTAGTCAGTAGGATAGTTAAAAGTTAATCGCTATATAGAAAAAATGAACGTGGATGTTTATTTATACTTCCCATTTCAAAATAATACAAATTTAGTTATGTTTTGATTTGCCGATTACAAATCGATATTTGTGCAAATGTAAACTATATTTAAAGATATAATTACATCATTGGTAAGGTAACATTTACTAATAAGTTTGTTTAAAGGTTCGATGAGTTTACACGGATCACATAGTGATTTCCACGGTTGTAGTACAATATTACCGTAAAATTTAGGATGTGAAATACTGTTTTTAATAAGTGTTAATAAGTCTAGACTGTGAGTAATAAAACGTATGAATACAAAGACAAACAAACTAAAAAAAAACCCGATCCTAATGAAAGTGTCCCTGTGGTAAATTTCGTTTATCTTTTATCAAATGGCAAAATCATCAGCTGTAACACACCATAAGAATGGAAAACAACTTTCAATGTTCATGCGTTACCTTTCATGTCTGTAGACAATGGCAGTAACAACCTGCTTTTAAAGCTAGCTTAACCTCTCACTTGTATGACAATCATAAATAATTTTCTTATATTGACAACAATGTGTGAGCAAAAGAAACAGACATAATTGGTAAAATATTAAAAATTTTGGATCAGCAGTCAGCATGGAATAATAATCTTACACACTTTCAACAGTCGATTCTAGTTCCGATTATCGAAAAATGGCACACTTGTATGTTTGTTAGAAAACAACAAAAAGGCTCGCTATAACCTTTTAATTCTATATCTTATGTATCAAATACAAGCATGATAACAATATCATAATTACAAATATAAATTTCCATTAAATCATCCGTGAAAACACGTGTCTCTGCTTCAGGCTAAAGCGAGATTCGATGGTCAGATATATATGGAAATGTTTAACGACTTTGACTGGCTATAAAGCCCTTGCACGGTCGGATCGATGGTCAGAAAGATGACTGCACGGGTTTTAAGTGCACACAAATGGTCACATGTCATGAATATTCATGAACGTACAACAAACTAAATTTTATATATTCAAATCCTTGCTGTACCACAGGTGTCCTTGTGTAATGAAATTTTAGGATATTGGTGCATGATCAAGTGGTTAACTTGGATTATCAATGAGCGAGAGTTAATGGCTATTTTAAGTTAATCATAAGATAATGTTGATTGAACTTTTTTTTATCATTAAACAAGTATGGACACAGATCAGTGTGGATAGTATGTTTGGATGTTTGATAGTGTTTTCTGACATAAAAAGGTCTCTGGTTTTCCCCCATAGAGTGCTATGTTGAACTGTTGTGCACAGTGACAGCAAACCTGTACCAAACACTAAAATAGCAGTGTCTTTTATTTAATGTTCAAGACTGTCATGGAGGAGACACTAATTTAAATCAGTGCCAACCGTTCATTGATTTTATTTAGTTAGACATTGCTTAAGCTGCACAATACACCATGTCTGGTTTGCATTAATGTCAGTGTCCCACGAAAACGTATTTTGATTCTTTTTGCTAATGATAATGATGAGTGATTAATGCTGTCAGTCAGAATGGTCGTAAAGTGCCTCGTTTTCGCAATTAATTTTTGCATATTTCACAGGTCAATGAGATGTCAATCAAATTGACCTATATATACGAAACTGGTTACAGGTAGTTGGAAAAACATTAACACAAACCTCTTTTAAGTCAAATTATAGAAAATAAAGCAAAAACCCGATTTCATGTCAGGTGTCCTTTAATATCAAATTTACATATTAGACAATACACTTTGAGTGCTTCGTGTATATGAATATGTACATTCCTGTAAATAAATTTTGTGCATGTGCAACCTTCCATTGGGTTTTTTTCTTTCAACGTTTTAACTTTGGAATAACTTCTTTTTGAATACATTTATGATTTTCAAAAATGATCCGTTAATGGAACACAGCTAGCTGAGTGTGCTTCAACCTTGGAGAGATTTACTAAAAGAAGCAGAAGATTGCAAATATTGCCAGATGATTCCGATAAAATATGTTCCACAATTTTGATTTTGGATAGTAGCAAAACTTCAAATAAGAAGAGGATCACATAAGGTGCATTTCTGCATGATGTGATATTTATATGCGAGATGGGATCCGATGACCTGCAAGAATGTAATATTTGTATGGTTCTATTTATGTTCCTTTGAGGTGTTAATTTCTTACTTGACTTGTCCACATTATACTGTAAATTTGTTCAGGATCTTCCAAGTATCATTAGTAAAATATTTTGTCAAAATGTCGAAATTGTTTCGATGAAGTTATGGCTTTAAGTAACAACAATATACGAATTATGTCAGATACCAATACAGATGCACAAGACTCCTATATATACAAACTGATAAAAAGTCTTTTAGATATGAACAGGACCGACGAGCAAAAGGATTAACAAAATTATACTTGCTAACATTACCAGTATGTATAAGTAAAGGATCATTTAAACTCTATGTGTTTGTCTATGTTCATAAAAAGTGCTACAAAACCACCTAGCATTATATTGCTAGTAGCACGAGCATTGTTTGGTAAATTTGTGTTTTTCTTAATTTGGCTTCTGGACAAAAAATGTTTGGTTTAAGTATAAAAAAAAAATGCTTTCATCTCCCCTTTAATACTTACATTGAATGGATGCTACTCAACAGCTCTTTGTGCTGACAGTTGTTGTCATCTTACCTTACAGCAGATCATGTGCAATTGGGAGTTGTGTGTCAAATGTTTATTTCACAAAGCATGCATTTGCATAACAATGAACTGAGCTCAAAGCAAAATAATTTAATAATACACTTAGACAAAAAGCTCAATCCAGTGATATACTTTGTTATAGACTTATACGTATCATGAACATTAATCCTTCATAACCACCTCTATGATCATTGATGATCTAACACACATTCCAATGCTTCTATTCAATATTAAACTTACACTGCATATATGATATACGGTTCAGACAATGTAAATGATATAAATTCAAAGATTCATAAAATGAGCCAAGTGGTATGGTCACATTGCAACGAAGCTACTGACTGGTAAAACAAAAATCTGCTATATTGTCTCCTTTTTTGTTTAGTGTTCCTTGTTAAACAATAGAAACGTCCTTACAAAATAGTCGACTCAAATGAAGTAGGTTTAGGGGGCACAGTAGTATTTCCTGGCCATTATGGATAATGATAGCCTTTTTTTAGAATTTTCACCACTTTCTAACACTGTTCAAAATTCTACAGACACAGTTAACTGAAGAACTTTAATTATATTATTCAGATATGAATTTGAATATGTGTCATGACCGTTTACTTATTTGCTATCTTTATAAACCTAAGGCCACTAGTGCTTTTAGGTCTTTTTCAAGCAGTGCATACAACATTAAAAAAAAATCTCAAAAATTCACCTGCATTTAAAATTATTTCATATTTTTCTTTGAAGATGGATAAAATCCGATAATGTTGCCGTCGCAAGGAAATCATTAACAATACCATAACCGCATTAGCGACCTCTCTAACGAAGAGATAATTTTATATGTTAACTTGGGTCTTCGATCTTGTCAAAGGAAAAAAAATATGATGTATTTGTCCCTACTTCAGAAATTCCGTGTTATATACTTATACTAGCCATTAAGACTTTTAACGTCTCTTTTCAACGTATGCATGTAGTATACGGCTGTTTTTGTCACCCTTAATATAACTAATATGATCGTAAACCATACATCGACTTTTGTGTACATAATTGTAGATTTATTTAAATGTTATCATATATATCTATATACTGTGGTTTCATTTATTTTCTAGTGTATCAATTTTCGTCAATTGAGAAAAACTTGCATTTTCGTAAATAAATTATTCCGTGGCTTTGCCAATGTCTGCATACAACCTTATAGAAAACGTGACATTCGTTGAACATTTAAATTTTTGGTTTATCTGTAACCAGGAAATCCAGGAAAATTAGTACGTCACGAATAATAATGAATCCACAGTAGGTGGTCACATTAACACCCCCAATGACGTGCATGCACTTAAAAAGACTGTATGTGCAAACTCGTCATACGTTGAAATTAAGGGTCGACTGAGATATAAAAAATGTTCTAGATTAGTTCTGTTATTCAAGACAATTTTTTTTAAATCAGGTGTCTGTTTTGATGTGTGAGTTGAAACACTAACATTCTTGTCCGGTCGAAATGAATGTTGAGAACAAAGTCTTTTGAAAGGAGTGTCAGATGTTCTGACTCCTTGGTGTGTTTCGATTCGATTCAAAGTAAACCAGTTTGCCCCATTACACCGATTGATCTCATCATATAACACTTAATAGCTCATCAAAGGTCGTTTACCAAATTTAAGCAGATTCTTTATTTTCTTTCTGTTGATTTGAGACGCAATTAATACCAATGTAAATATAAGGTAAAAGTCCGAGTCAACCTTTTCGCGCCATATTTTAAAAATCGAATATCTCGAAAAGGAGTTCCATGACATATCAATATTTTTAGCTTATTCTGATCTAATGCTCTTTTGGCTTATAGTATCAATTTTAAATTCTTGATTTATCTAATTTCACCTAAGTATATCCTTAATTACTATGAACTATTACAACATCTACTTTAGATATCAGTAGATATCCTAATGAAAGGCAAGCTGTATGCGATTTTACGAATATTATTTTTACAGGACACACAAGGGACATTCAAGCTCAAAAGTCGAAAACAAACTGACAACGCCATGAATTAAAGAAAAAGACCAACATACAAACAATAGTACACAAAACACATAATAGAAAACTAAAGACTGGGCAACAACTGGGGTGATCTCAGGTGCTCAGGAAGGGTACGCATATCCTGCTCCACATATGGCACACGTTGTGTTACTAATGCTAGTACACACCAGGTAATTAAGTCTAATTCGTCGATTCAAACTCCGGAAAAGGAGGGTCGAGATTGTAGTTTCGCCATTAGGAACATATCCGCTATCAATTGTGAAACGGATATTTGATAATGTCACCAATATGTGATGGCGGCCGTAAAATTATCGATGATTTCAACATCGCAATTTTTAACTCTTGGTTTAATAGCTTTCTTGTGAGTAGCAATCCTTTATCAAGGGAACACTAGCCCTGATATATCGTATCAACTTGGAGATATATAATCCGTATGCAGACGTTTTTTGAACGTTGCTTAAAAAGTTCACAATTAGGAAGCTGAAATCATCTCTTTCGTGACAAAGGTTTGTTTTAAACTGATCCGAATTGTCAAGTTCTATATGTAAGTCAAGATATGAGGCAGACATAACTGTTTCTGTTCAATCCTTTATATCAACTTCAATTTGATTGATGCGTCCAACGGTCACCGAAATTGAAGTTTTTTAGTGAGAGAAAATCATCTATAAAGCGGGAAGTAATGTTGAAGGATACTTCTAATTTATTTTCTTTCTTCCAAAGAAGTTCCTGTATGAAATCAGACTTATATGAATACAGGAACAAGTCGCAAAAAAGAGAGGCGCAGACTTCTGTGCTGACATGAATTATAATTGATATGGTCATATTTATAAATTGACTGCTTACTAGACTTTTGAATTTTTGAAATGCTAAGGTTTTTCTACCTCAGGAATAGATTACCTTAGCTGAATTTGGCAAAACTTTTAGGAATTTTAGTCCTCAATGCTCTTCAACTTCGTACTTTATTTGGCCTTTTTATTTTTTTTTTGGATTCGAGCGTCACTGATGAGTCTTTTGTAGACGAAACGCGCGTCTGACGTAAGTACAAAATTTAATCCTGTTATCTATGATGAATTTATTGTCAACCACTGGGTCGATGCCATTGCTGGTGGAGTTTTAATTCCCCGGGGATATCACCAGCCCAGTGGTCAGGACTTCTGTGCTGACTTGAATTATTATTGATATGGTCATATTTATAAATTAACGGTTTACAAAACTTTTGAATTTTTGAAATACTAAAATTTTTCTACCTCAGGAATAGATAACCTTTTGTAGACGAAACGCGCGTCTGACGTAAGTACAACATTAAATCCTCGTATCTATTATGAGTTCATTTAGTTCTAATGGTAACGCCGATTTTTGTTTGTTGAAAACCACGTCCTCAAAACGTTACAATTCTTTTGTCAATTAACATATCAAGCATCTTGAGATTGTCAGTTTCAGTAATTTTTTTTGTTTGAATGAGACATGCTAGATTAATTGTTTACAAAGTATGATTTATGCATGTATTGCGTGCTGCGGTTCCACGACTCTCTATTTATTGTTAACTAATAAAACAACAACACATACATTCACAAACACTCAATCTTAAACTTGAATTTACCTAACATGCCTAAGTTGTCATACTTTTAATTTGATTTCAGGTGGATGTATATAGCTGATTACAGTTCTGGAATTTTAAAGTATAGATATGATTTAGCTGAAGAGCAGACAATTGTAAATTTTACATCAACATCTGTTTTTAACATGGATATAGGTACGTTGTCAGTATTTTTTTTCAGTTTTAATGTAGCATAAAAAGTCACAATGCTTTATTGTTTTCCTTACAAAATACTGACTCTTTATTCATGTTAATGAAAATATCTACCAACAATTGATTATTTGTAAAAGTAAAAAAAAAAGGAAAGAATATGAAAGAAAAAAAACTAACAGCTATTGATTAATGAAAAACCTGGTTGACTATCTAAGCATTTTATTTTTGTAAAAACATACACTTTAAAGCAGATCAGTAACACGACCGTACCAAAAACTCAAAATAATGTTTCATTATTTCCTTGAACGAAATAGCCATTCTAGTTTAAATAATAAGGGTTCTGAACTTTTAAAGTATGTTCAATAACATTTTACCTCGAAAAATTGCATAGATCTGTCTTCAAGTTTGGATTGAATCAATATTATATACATTGTAAAACAATAGTTTGTATAAAAACAATGCTCTGGAAAAAAATATGTAGAACAAAGTCAAAGTTATCTCAATTTGCGTATTTTAGGTTATTGACAGAAATTTTGAGATGTGATATTAGTGGTCCTTTTGTACAGGCTAACATGATTGCCCAAAACATTGTTCATGTAGATTTGTTCAAATACCTTTTATTGTCAGATGCATGCTGAACACCATTTCATTAGGATAGCTTATTGCATTATAGTTTCAATAGATAAGAAGGGGTTCCATGTGTTATGTTGTTGCTGTTTGAGGTTTAATACCACCAAATCATAGGACGTCACATCCGGTTGCATTAATAAAAGGGTAAAAAATAGTTTCTTGGATTGGACATTTGTAGGAAATTAGTCCTTTCATTCCCGTAAAAAATATGAGTCATAAACATATTTCTGTATTGTTTCAAAGCACCACCATATTTTAATTTAGCGTTTCTATGAAATATTTCGGAAATTTGAGGTTATATGGTTACTTAAGTTTATAAAGAAGAAATAAAGGGGTGACTGTTTGATTGGTTAACTTCCAGTGATGGTTTTAATCCTATGTTCAATGAAATGTTATTAGTCTAGTCAATTTAGTGAACAACCTGCAACTAATCGCAACACAAAGTTTTTCTCTGAAAAACAAGTCTGTTACTATCTATAAACAACATACTAAAACTATACAAAAATATATTTTGCGGAAAGTGTTGTAATTCATGTAAATATTTTGCAGTAAAAGTAAGGTTATATGAGTTGCTTCCCCTTATGTGCCTAAGTTGAAAAAAATAAATTAATACAAAAAATGTTCTGTATTTTTTAAAACAATTGTAGTAATACAATACAATACATAATGATCTCTATTCAAAAGAATAAAATTACATATGCATCACTTTCCTGTCCCAAAATTTGTATATTTGAATAAAGATATAGACCGAGATTGTGTTCTGCTATTTTACAATCCAAGAATCTAATTCTCCTTTACAGTGTTGGTATGAAACCTATAGATGGAAAACTGTACTGAGTTAGATTAGCCAACTTAGTCACAATCCTACTCGGTATTTGAAAGAACTCTGCCCCTGTGTTAAAGGCTGCCGGACAGTTAATTTTTAGATGGGGGAGGGGTTCTCGAAACTCATGTTTTGTCCTTTATAATAAAACATTTTTTTTTCATTTTCCTTCTTGAACAAACATGTTAAGATTTAGAATCCAACAATTGTTTTCATAAAAAAATAAGAATGATAAGTGTTAAATGATTGTATGTTAAATATTTTTTCACAAATGAAAATTTCAGGCTCCTCGAAGCAAATAGCTACTCATGTAATTAGCGATTATCTCAGTAGTTACACATCAGCGCTGTAACACTGAATCCACTTTCCACTGGTTGCTAATCGGATGTGTACTGCTTTATATTCATCAACTGTAGTGTGATTAGCTTTGAACTAGCTATTAGAACTCAGTGTCATTTTGTTAATTGGTTATATACTCCATGCTGATCTTTTTGAGTCGAACCCTTTCCAACGGAGTTTTACAATTTTTTCTCATGTTGTTTGCTATTTCAAGACTGTTCCTGAGTATGGGAGGGCTGAGTGCTCGCAAACATGGTTAACCCTGCACACTATGAATATTATTATCACTAGTAAGTGGCCCTTTATTACTTGGTGGTTAGTGTTTGCTGTCGGTCATATTTGTTTTTCCACTTATTGTCTTAACAGTTTTATAATTTAAACGATGAGCTATTATAGTTGTTAATATCCACACCCACATCATTGTTATGTTATCTCTTGTGGAAAGTTTTCTCATTGGCAATCATACAACATCTTCTTATGTTTTTAAAGTGGGGAGATTTTACAATAACTAATGGTTTCACTGGCAAGTGATCAAACATACTACCAAGAGATCACTGAAAGAGTTTAGTGGACCTTAGAAGCTAAACATTAATATAATTGAAAACAACACGTTTAATAATTTCATGCGTCCGAAGCGCTTTTCTGGATTTACCTTCATCAGGAACGCTCAAAGCCAAACATTTGAAATCCGAGGGATATATAAGTACCGAAACAGTTGAAGAGCTATATGACAAAAATACCTAAAACAAATAGCCAAATCATCCATCTAGGGTCAACTTTATAAACGGGAAATTTTAGAAAAGTTTGTTATTAATCTTGTCAGTACCGAAGTACTGACTACTGAGCTGATGATACCCTCGGGGACTGATAGTCCACCAGCAGAGGTATCGACCCAGTGATGTAAATAATTGAAAACAACACGTTTAATAATTTCATGCGTGGAAGCGCTTTTCTGGATTTACCTTCATCAGGAACGCTCAAAGCCAAACATTTGAAATCCGAGGGATGTATAAGTACCGAAACAGTTGAAGAGCTATATAATATTCTTTAGGCATGAGGTGTATTTTTTAAAATATTTTTTTAGTTTTGTTCAAATGAGTTGAATACAGGTCAGCACATTCCGGAAGCAGAAAATCGCGTCTTTAACATTGATATTAATTTCTGTAATAGAATATAATTATGAATAAAGAGAGATTTGAGGTTTTTAGAGTCAATGAGAAAGCAACTCAAACGACTAACAAAAACCAACAGACATACTTTCAGATTAGATATGACTATCTAATCACTATCTCTGACCATAAGTCGCCCACTTTTTTACAGTTCTTAGGCTAAAGCTGATTACCTTTTATTTAATTAATTCAATGAGATATCTTAAAGAAGGAACTTGGTAATGCTTTTCTTTATATATGTATATCTTTGACCATAATATTTTCATACAGCAGACAACCCATGTTAGTACTTTGTCATTATCATTTGATTAATGTTAAAGACCACCACATACAGGCTTACAAGGTACACACATAAGGCGCTGTAACTATTAACACTTTCAACAGGAAGTGATCCCATCAATTCATTCAACATGCAGTGCTTATCTCATTTTCAACATCCAAAATCTGACTACTTTGGTACAATAACTATTTAAATTCAAGCTCTTGAGGTAAACTTGTAATTATATTGACAAAGCTTCCATTGAAATTGCCTTAAACAATATCAGATCTACATTTCATTCTTATTCAGTGAACTAGTATATGTTCCCAAATTTTAAAAGCTTCTATATCTGAAATTAAACGTGGATATTGATATAGCTTGCTAAATAAAATTGGTCTGTGTTTAACTGTGACTTTATGCAATTCAAATGTTGAAAAAGTAGCTAATGAAAAAATACACAGTAAAAGGACTACAATCACTGACGATGCAAGGGCACTAGAAAAATAACTCTTCCAGCAATAAACATGACAAAATCAAAGTCAGTATTACCAAACTGATTAACAGTTATTTTTGAACACAATCATTTTTTTTGTTTATTATACCTACACGTATAATTACTATAAATACATAACAAAAACATAAGATAAAAATTTCAAACTTCCACAAAATGTACTTTTTTAAAACTGAGTTTTACTGTGTATTTATTTATTCTACATTGTCTAGAGAAACTAGGGGAGGGTTGAGTTCTCACACAACATTTTTTACTCCAGTCACATAATTATTGCATCTATCCCAAGTCAGGAACCTCTAACCTTTGTTTATCTTGTGTTTTTTTTTTATAATTTTGGTTCATTTGTATGTATTGGAGTTTCAAGGGTGGTGTCCATTTCGCGGAACTAGTGTACACAATAATTAAGGGGTCAGCTGAAGCCCACCTCCGTGTGCCGGATTTACTTGCTATGTTAAAGACCCATTATAGTGGTCTTGTTTTCTCTTTGACACATTCCCTGTTTCCATTCTCCATTTTCGTTTTAAAAATCAAACTGGAAATAACCAAGATTTTAAACCCCTCACATAGGGGTATTAATTATGTTTTTAGGTCTGTGCGTCCGTTTGTTGGTCCGTCTGTCCCACTTCGATTAAAGTTTTTTGTTAGAGTTTTCGGTCATGGTAGATTTTGATGAAGTTGAAGTCCAATCAACTTGAAACTTAGTACACATGTTCCCTATGATATTAACTTTCTAATTTTAATGCCAAATTAGAGTTTTGACCCCCAATTTCACGGTCCACTGAACATAGAAAATGATACTGCGGGTGGGGCATCCGTGTACTATGGACACATTCTTATTTTGTAATTAGTTCGTAAAACAAAATATTTCACACAACAAATTGATTATTTTTGATATCGATAACAAGAGGAATACATATGCATATAAACATAAGATAATATGTCTATAAAGAGCCTATGAATAACCGAGCTTTTTATTTCCATTTTTCACCATTTTTAAACTACATTAATCACATTTTACACAAGAATTACAATTATTTTTAAACACTAATTACTATAGGACTCCTTAAGATAAACATCAGATAGTATTTTCTATTTTCTATTTAGATCCCAATTCGAAAGTTTTTTAAACCATCAATAACCGAGATTTTTTTCATTTCCAGTTATTGGGTTTTCTGTCTTAAAACATATATTCAACCAAAATTACCTAAATATTAATATTGATAACTAAAGGACTTCACAAAATAAACATAAAATAGTATGTTCTTTTTTCTATATATATCAAATTTCAAAAATATTAACCATTAACAACGGAGGTTTTCTACGTTTCCAGTTTTCGACGTTTTTTCACTAAAATTCACTCATTTCACCTCAAAATTACTTCAGTATGAATAATAATAACTAGAGAACTACATAATATTCTATTAAGATCAGGTTTACAGTCTTCAACAAGCTTTAGGTCTAAAAATGTAACGATAAATAACATTTTTTCTTCTTTTCACGTTTTCCGCATTTTTTCTCTAAAAACCACATATTTCAGCTCAAAATAACCTTTTCCGCAAATTATATCAATGTATAATTTTAGTATGTTGTAAATACAAGTCTATATTATAATTTGCATTAAAAAAACCTTGTGTTGCAATTAGTTGGAGGTTGACTGATTTTAGAGCTAAATTGACTAGGCTATATGTGTAAATTTGTCTGTTGTTCTGAACAGGATGAAATTTTACTCATGCTAAGTATTTCATTTTTTGAAACAAAGATAAATTCTGCGTAAGATTAAAAATAACTAGGAAAAACCTTGGTGGTACATTGTATTACACATCGAACATTCAGAAACTTTGTAAAGTTGATTATGACGAACTTTCAAAATATTTTCAAGTCAGTAGTATTATCTTAAATAAAGCAAGCTATTTATTTATATAATCCAACAAAAAAACTTTGTTTGTGTGTTTTCTTTAATTAAGAAAAGATTCCCTCTGTTGAAGATAACATACACAGTCAGCAAGACGTGTGAATGCTATAAAAAAATTGACAAAAAATGATGTAACTGTAAATGTAAAGACTTTCTTCTTTTAAAATATGGAGTCTAAATACATGTCAACTGTCATAGAAAGAATCAGAACCTTGTAATATATGTGTCCTTGTCTGCCCGTGTACAAATATTCAAAAGACCGTTTATATGATGGATCATGATTTCATACTATGGAGTTAATTATAAAAGACACACAATATATTCAGTTAAGTGTGTGATCTATTTTGAACAGTTGACAAATCGTTTTTTTTTTTTTAAAACAACCCGTTATAACTTGAACATCTATGATCGTTTAATATAATCCGTTTATCGATGAGGCCAAATTTGTCAAGTTCACATATAACACAACCGCCTCTTTGATCGTAATGCATTGATAAATACAAACCCATTAGTGATTAACCAGTTGACCTGTCACTGTTTAGTTTACACTGCATCAAAGAAAGTAATTAGTTTAGGGCTTTTATGCAAATTTTTTCATTAATCCTATATTTAATGATTAGTCCTTCCAAATATAAGAATAAAGAGTTCAAGCAATTTTTGGGGAGAGAAAATAAGAGTTTAAACTCCAGTCCCCATAGACAGATGAAAATACATCAATGTTGGGGATATGAGGTTACATCCTGCAAAGAAGATTCTACTTAACATCTTAGTTTGTGTGAGCAAACACCAATTAAGATTACCTGAATATTTAAATAGTTTACCAAGTCAGGAATATGACAGTTGTTGTCCATTCGTTTGATGTGTTTTATCATTTGATTTTGCCATTTAATTAGGGACTTTCCGTTTGACTTTTCCTCGGAGTTCAGTATTTTTGTGATTTTACTTGTTCTAACAGTCCCTTGATTTCTATTACAGTACGTAAAATGTTATATAATTGAATCTACTGGTCTGCAGAAAGCTTCGTAGTTACAGATTGAAATCGATTGCCCATTTCATAAATTCAACTCTTTTGTACCATGTCTGTAGTCACTCAGACCAATGGGTCGTCTTCTCCGATATCTAATTACAGAAAAACTTAAACTACGTTAAAGCTTATGAATAATATAAAAAAGGTCTTACATCTATACATTGTATATCTTACAAATTGATATCTACGTCATAATAACAATTATGATCGTAAGGAAAATCGTACATTTCACTTTGAAAGGATATATGTTTATAGTTGAAATTTAAGTTCTCTGTCGAAGAATGACTTCTGCACCAAAGGAGATTTTAAAGTTTTTTTTTAATTGTACGAGATTTTTTTTATTTGAATTGTACGAGATTTGTTTTATTTCATAACTGATACTCTCATTATGAATCAGAACTTTAAAATATGTATTTCAGATGCAGAAAAATTGAACAGAGATCTGATGAAATTGCTATATGTATTAATCAATTTGACTCGAAGTAATGTACTTTCAGATTATAGATTGTTTACCTATCATGAATGGTATGTTATAGACTCGTCTTGAATAATTAGTTTCGAGTCACCGAAGCATTATCGTCACTTTTCTACTTTGTCTTTACTCTCTCATTACAAATTGTCGACAGATATTTGGTTTTGGTGATCAAACCAGGGTTTCCGCTGGAAAATAAATGTGGCGATTAACATTCATCATTTGCGAAAGAATTTGGCGAAAGAAATATATATAACGATTTAGTTTCAGCCATCTTGTTTATTTACTTTGTTTCGGGTCTCTCGGATTTTACCTGATCATACAATACTCGGAATTGATCTTGAGCTCGTTTTGATTTTGACAAAAAATCAATAATCAGCTGATTGCATTTCATAGATGTAGGCAACAAAGGACTAATTTATAAAGGTGTTGATTGTATTGTTTGACAAAATGATATGATTAAACGGCATCCGTCACATGTCACATAAGGATTTATTAACCACTTTGCGACGAACGTGTTTAAAGCAAACTTTTGACGTCTCCTCTCCTTCATTTAATAACGATGGTCTGGAAAGGAAAACTGTTGTTATGATGAAAAGTTTTCAAATAAAAAAAATATCTAACTTTTAAAAAACTTTATCCTTTGACTTTGATAGATAATTTATTTGATAGGGTCGTTTTGCCTTTTGACAAAGTCTTTTAGGCGACGCACGTGTTTCAAGCATAGTTTTACGTCTCAACCTTTTCTTTTACGATGGTTTGGAAAAAAAAATGTCCTTATGAAGGAATATATTCAGGTTGGGACCAACCACTCAAATGAGTGATAACCCTTCACGTAAAGACAATCCCTTTAATAAGGGATCAAGATCTTAAGAGGTCATGTTCCTTGTTATTTTGTATATATGCAACCCGACTTTAAATAAAGATTACTTTACTTTACTTTAATTTCAAGTGATAAAACATTTTTGTGTTGTAAAAACCACGTTATGATTGAAAAGGGCACATATTTATATTATTTGAAAAAACTTTTCCCAAAAACTATACATCTATCTGATATTATATGGTCAAAACATGTCCAAGATTTTTTTTTATATTCCTGGACTTATATACCTTCTTTAAAGTTAAAAGTAAGTATACCCCTCTTTTAGGAAAATTGTTCCAAATATAATGAATTTTCCCCCCTTTAAGTAAAAAAAACCCAAAGTTTTATTTTTAAAAGTAAATGTTAGTATTTATTCATTACAATGTAGACTGAAAGATAAGTCTGAGAGAATAGTCATAGTCAACAATGGGGCAAAGTCATCTGTCTTTTTTTTTAGGGGGGGGGGAGGGGGGGCAAAAGAAGAAAATTTCACACAAACAATATATATTTTTGTTACTTGGCGAATTAAATAATAATGTAGCGAAAGATATATTGTTTTGATGAAAGAGGTGGCGAAAAAAATGATTGACCCAGTGAAAACCCTGGTTCAAATGAATAGGTTTGTTATGACTTAATATATTCCTGGTACAGAGCATGTCACATTGTTATCAATCAGATGACTTTACTGACTTTTAAGTGTAGAAATCAAAGGGAGAATTTTGAAAACATCTATTTTATCGTGACATTGGTATGTTTGCTTTACAGTTCATCTGTTTGCATACCTGCAGTTTTTATATATAACCCCCATATTAAGATATTTGTTCATATAAAAATGATATATAATTTGTTTCAACGTATTGTAGACACTGATGAAAACAGATTGTATTGGATTAATCAGGACGGTGACATGAAATCAGCTAAAGACGATGGCTGTGATATAAACAAAATTATTTCAACGAATTTTCGAAAAAAACTACGTAGCTATTTGTGTCTTTGGTAGTTACATATATTATGGTAATGGAAAACATTTGTTAATGGTAAACAAAGTACCTGAATCAACACCGACTCTACTATATAGCGATACCAGCAGGATTGAGAGTATATTTGTTTTTAAACAAACAGGTATGTAAACAGCCATGTATCATACCAAGAGGCAGTCTGGGAATAAAACTACACTGTAATTGATAGTTGATTTCGCGATACATAAAGCTATTCAAATATAAGTAATTTACATAATGTTGCAAATCTACTAACTGTAACTACTGTCATCAGTATATTTTGTAAACAATAAAGATTTGACAACAATATAGTTTTGAAGCACCTTTTTAAATGTACTTACATTAAATGAGTAATCAGTTAGATATGATTCTTGGTATTCAAATTGAATAAAAACTATACATGAGACCCTATATTATTCACTAAATAGTGATATGCATAATTGCACTTGTTTCGTTTATTGTTGATAAAACTCAAATACAAAACAAAGGCTTCAATTAATTGAGATTAACCTGTCAAAAATAGATGCAACTTGATTTAGCCCGTATCGTTTCAATTTTTGTTTTTATATTTGTTAAGTTAGCGTATGGTGTATACTGTTCTTCCATAAATGTTTACACTATATATAATCATTGTTTGTTGCTTTGGCACTAACATACTCGTAACATATGTTAATGTATTTATTTGCTATTGCTTTGTTGCCTCTGTGTTTTCGTCTGAACCTTGTATGCATATTGTTGTTATGTTTTCATATTTGTTTTAAGTTTCTTATTTTCACAGATAACTTTTTAATTTCATTATACAGAAAAAGTTTACTTACTTTAGATGTACCTTTTTTTACCGTTGATTTAATGTTAATTCATGTATTATATAACAATTTCATGATAGTTGATAATAGTACTTATAGTCAAATTGAATATTTCGTTTAGCATGATAATTGTTAACGCTAACAACTTAGTTTTGCAATCATCGATTTTGTTTTAACTTCAATGATTAAAATTGTATTGAAGGAAGAACTTGACAAAAAGAGTAATTCTACAAACGATAAGAAAGTTCCTATTCTTTCATCATTATATACAATATTTCTTTTAGAACGTTGGCAACATAACTAAGTTTTTGAAATAGAATATTGATATCCTTCAAATTTGAATCAAAGCATACATTAGATTTTAGAAATATGAATAATGATTTAAAGTGATAAAATTATAAATAAAAAAAAGATATGTAAACATGTAAATAAATTGATGAATACAATATAATATTTTCATTTCGTTATATCTGACTGGAGTAGGTACGTAAAAACTACTAACGACAAAAATAAAAAAGAACCTGGAAAAAACAACATTACCAGATATTGGAAAACTGTGGGTTATGAAGGTATGAAAATAATGTTTTTAAACATTTAAACTAATAAAGAAATGTACATATTTGAAAACTTAAAATGTGACAACCAACGCAGCTTAACTGGCGAATGTTTCATTATTTAGGTCAATAGATATGAAAAAAACAACATAGAAAACTAGATTGAGCCGCGTATACTTAAACCAAAATCATGTATGAACTTGTAGGTTGCGGATAATTAATAAGTTTTTGTTCAACTGATTATATTTAAGTTGGTAATAAGCTACATTCGATGATATCAAAGTAAAAAAGACAATGGAATAATGCTACAAAGTATCGATATGAAATGATGGGAAGTCTGTGATAGAAACCTCAACGATGTGAGTTAATTCCGTGTTTGCAATATTGCAAAGACAACTGTTTACTGTTAATATTATGTTGACGCCATGTGTTGTGGATTTGTTTACGAGTGGCTCACCGATGGACATAAATCGCTACAATCATTTTGATCTGATTAAATTACTATTTGTTATAGTTGAGATAGTTGTTTCCCTTGAATAGTCATGTTACCTTAGTACTCTTATAAATATAAACAACGGATAACAAAACACATTCGTTTTAGTTATTAAACCAAAAGCAGGAACAGTAGTACTCGTGGCCTTCATTGTACTCGTTTGCTGAGGATTTACGATTACGTCATTACTTGGTCAACCTGCAATATGATGGGCTTTTTCAGTGACTATTAAACATACGTAATGAGCAGTTGAAATATTTTGTTTGCCTATCATTTTAGCTGTTTCATGTTTTTTTACTTATTCTAATTGTATTGGTAGATTACAGTGAAAACGCCTAAATTATTGCTAAACCATCATGTGAGACACTAAATGAGGAGACTCCTGATTACTTTGATGAAAATATATAGTAGGTAGATCTGATAATTTAACAAGTCATTATTTTCTTATCTCTTAATGTTCTAAAGAAACATTACTTGCATTTAACCATGATTTCATTATTCTAGCTATGACAACTGTATCAGAAGTTATGCAAGAAAATAGGTAGTGACAATAATGTATATTAAACGTGTGACTAGATGGAGTAGTTCTACATATTATATGTTCAATTTAGTCATTGTAGAAAATGACATTCCTAAATGCATACACAACAAGAAAAAAAGTCGTACTTACAATATATTTGTTTTAAAATCGATGAACTATCAGCATTTGACACCACTAGTGTAATTTAACTAAACTAAAATATCATTGTAAAAGTTGTAGGAATATAGATATGTCTGAATACTGTATGGTTAAATATTCCTCAAATACAAATAGATATATGCAACTGCCTCTGTCGACTTACAGTAATTAGTGCGTAGGCTAGTTTGAAGTTTTAAATATGTTTCAGAGCAGAAGTATGTAGAGAATTATTGGATTACTTATTCATATCACATGCTTCTCCTTGGTCTTCGATGTTTGGCTGTTTGAGTCCTATCATAGTATATAACTGATATTACATCATATGTGAAAAGGATAATTTACAAATAAACTGTATCATATACATGCAATTTTGTTTTGTTTTGACAAATCATCACAAACATGTCACCATTTAGCGTTATAAACATAGGATGAGGTCTATAATTCGTTGTATCAACTGTCATCAATATCCGATGTTTGATGATATTACTTAAAGACCAATTTCCAATTTTCTTATATTTGATAAAGATATTTTATCAAAATATCAGCTTTTGAAAATTAATATATTATCGCTTTTAGTAATTTGGTAACTGTTATTCTATACTAAGTATTTTATTACACTGTTGCAAAATAAAATACCATGTCTGCTTGTGTTTGTTTGTTTGATATTTTTTTCGGTTATGTAAAATAATATTCTATTTATATACCCCCACTAAGGTCAACACAAATTCAGTCACTATATTTAGATTCATGTTATTTATCATTTGTACTGTTATTTTTCAATGTTTACGTTTGGTAATTTCATTCATCAGAACGGGCTTTCTAAGTTCTGATTAAGAACTTGTTCTACCTCCAACTTGTTCAAAATTGTACAGGTATATTCTGGGCATTACCGAGTATTGACTTTTCTTAATCGTTGTTTAAGTTATCGTATGACGTCTGTTTTGCATTACCCTTACTTAAAATAGAATGTAAGAATGCATCACTTTTCCAAAATACGGTAATCGGTTACCAGCATCGCCATGTAAGAGGAATAACGTTATGAAAGCCTCTGATATGTTTGGTTAAAATTAAAAGAAGGAAGATGGAAACAATATCAGCCTTTTTTTTATGTCTAAGCGTAAATGTTTGAGTTTCTTGAATATAACCATTAAGCTTTGTTTTTGTAGTTTCAAGTTTTTTTTACCTAACGTGACGATAACAGCTAACACTGCAATTAAAAAACGTAAAGAAATAGTATATAAACGTTTATAATTCGGTTATTGTCAATAAAATAAAAAAACCAACCCCCACCCCATGACAGAAAAACCCACACAATTAGAAATACATACAGTATCTAATCGTTTGATGTGTTTGGGCTTTTGATTTTGCCATTTCATTACGGACTTTCCGTTTTGAATTTTGCGGTTTTATGTTTTTCGAATGCTGGTACTGAAAGTGCATCACACGGCTAGATAAAAAACAAATATGTTCTTGCTTTAATCATGATTGTGTAAACATAATGATAGTAACGCTACTTTGATTAATTAAGGGTATGGTTCTTGAATATTGTTGATTCCTTCATACTACGCTCTAATAGTGTGTGGTGCTTATAACAGTAAGAAAATATCAATTCTATGAACATGTTGTAGCTGAACAGAGTTCGGATCCGAATATCTGATTGTCAATGGACTATCTTCAATTTCATAAAGTGAATTCAAATTAATAAAAATAAAAAAAAAAAAAAATTGCAAATACATTTATTTGTTTGATGCATTCCCCAGAATTGCAAAATATCAATGTGACGTTTGTCAAAATACCGAATTCAAAATAAGTATAGGCTAGCAAATGTCTGAGATTTATTTCAATATAGAATATATAAACATAACGGATTCGGAAAATTATCCTTCTAGATTGAAATAAACAGCAAAACTGTAAACCAAATTATTTTCGCGGATATTCTTCGCGTTAAACCCTTTCAATATAAATAAAAAGATGTGGTATGATTGCCAATGAGACAACTTTCCACAAGAGACCAAATGACACAGAAATAAACAACTATAGGTTACCATACGGCCTTCAACAATGAGCGAAGCCCATACCGCACAGTCAGCTTTAAAAGGCCCCGAAACGACAATGGAAAACAATTCAAACGAGAAAACTAACGGCCTGATTCATGTAAAAAAAATGAACAAAAACAAATATATAACACATAAACAAACGACAACCCCTGAATTACAGGCTCCTGACTTGGGACAGGCACATGCATACAGAATGTGGCGGGGTTAAACATGTTAGCGGGATCACAAACCCTCCCCATAACCTGGGATAGTGGTGTAACAGTACAACATAAGAACGAACTATTAAAATCAGTTGAAAAAAGCTTAACTCATTAGCTGGATACGAGTACAAATACTACATAGAGTGCAAGCCTACTTTGCGGCGATTTAATTTTAAGTTTTATATACTTGCGCCGATTTATATTCGTGTTATTGTTTCTACTCACGAAATATGGGAAAATTAAATCGCACGCAAAAATGAGTTGGTTTATGGTATGCTTTGATGTTAACACAACGTTAATCATGTTCCGTCAAGGCCAAAACATGTTTCGAATAAGGCGAGGCATTTTAATTACAAAGACTTTGTTCTAAATGTTTGTCACTATATTTCAGGATGGTTGACTGACCGTATCAACTGTTGGTAAAGTGTTGATGCCGATATATATATATATATATATATATATATATAGATTGCCTAACAATGTAATTTTAACACACTATTTAGTATGTAAATATAAGAATGTTTAAAATATTTACAAAATGATGAAAATAAACGCAATATTTCGCTAGACTAACTAGCTTTATCAAGCGTGCATCTATCCAGGTGAAATCTGGAAATGCACGCTTGATAAAGCTAGTTAGTCTAGCGAAATATTGCGTTTATTTTCATCATTTTGTAAATATTTTAAACATTCTTATATTTACATACTAAATAGTGTGTTAAAATTACATTGTTAGGCAATCTATAATTTTATTTGTGTAATTGAATTAATCTCTGTACTGATTAATCCACACTCCCATAGATTTGTATGTCATGTGCTGCTATTTATAGGCACTTATATATATATATATATATATATATATATTATATAAACAAAATGTACACAGCCATGTATCACCATCACTGCTGGTGATCCGATGTATAAATCTGTTGTAGAGTTGTCACTGGTTCAGACGTACTTATATATTCACATATATATATTTATATATATAGATATATCGATTTAAACATGCTTAGAATTTTCCCAAACTTTACATGGTAAGTTCATATCATAATTTACATTCACTTAACAATTAAAATGTATACCACCACCAAGACATGTATTAAGTAGACAGCATCTCCTAAGCAATCGTTTGACATTTAACTTGATTTGAGGGATAGTTCACTTTACGGACTTCCCGTTTCGGATTTTCCTAGAAGTTCGTTATGTTATTTAGTTTTTTTTTTACTTTTTGCGTTATCGAGTGATTATTTTGTTCTCTGTTTTATTTACTCGTTGCACTGCGTATTTTACTTTTCACAACAACTATAAAAATCACACCAACTTCCATTTATACAACATGTCAACAGTTTGTGAAATACATTGATAAAAGTTTGGAATAGAAATAAAAAACACCATATCATTTCATTATTTAATCAAAATGAAATGTATATTGATATATCTACGTTTGCAAAATGTTCTAGAATTCGACATTCCGCATAAACAATCTATTCCTGGCCTATAGAAGTTTCATATATCAGATAATGTGATAATGTGTGTCGGTATAATTTAATCCTGTATGATAAATTAACATTATTATTGTTATACAATCTAAATTAACTGATAACTTTTGATTAATACTAGAGAATGAAAGTGAAATGGTATATCATGTTCGTTATCATATCACCATTTTTGTTTAATTTCAGGTGAAGGTGAATGTTCAAAATGATGCAAAACGTGGTTTCTAACTCCATTTAGTTAAAATATGTCAACGAAAGACTTGACTTATATTCAAACAAATTCTTGTCGGAATATAACATGCATTTGGAAGGAGAAAATTAGTATAACATGTATAACTGAAGTGCTTAAACTGATGATAGGATACTAAGTTTTCACGCGTTTAGTTATAATCTAGAGTGAACTGGATATATATGAATTGTATTATAAACTATCGTATTGATACTATACCCCTCCAACCTCAGAAAAAAACAATATATTTCCTTTTGATTTATATGCCCGTTTTTGAATCGCATGCCTTGATGTAGAAAAATACCAATTTACTTGACAATACATGTATGTTGCGTAACATGAAAAACATGGATGAAATGTTGTCAAGGAAACATCAACACCGAAAGAAAAAGATGATCCTAAGAATAATTAAAGATATTTCATGAAAACGAACATTGTTCAGTCTTCGAATTGCTCCTTATATTCTATGCAAACTTAGACATTCTTCTTTTTAATAATTGGCCCTTGTACTGTTCAACTTTCAGAAACATTAGACCTAAACATGTTGTAGTGATAAAATTTGTACATACTTTCATTTAGATTTTGCCGGAACACTCTAATGAACTTATCTAATTATTTTTCGTTAATCCTTGATACTCATGTTTGAAATAGTTAAATATAAGTCTTCTATTTTATTTCAAGTAGCAAATGTAATTACCCGATGAAATAATATTGCTGTTTTAGAAAAAAAAGCTACACAAATTGTTAAACATATTCCTTGGCTTTTAAATGTGTCTTAAGGTGGTACAATGAAATTGATTTGATAAATATTGTTTTAAGCTGCAGTTATATAGTTTTAAATATATGTGTAAAAACGGCGAATATGTGTCCCCCTTTGACAAAACATTAAGAAATTTCAAATAGACTTTAATCTTACTTTTCAGATGATTTTTTTCAAGCTTAGAATATTTTGCTTTTAATGTTATCTTCATATAGAAATATCAGTATACTTCAAAAACATAAAGACCTGAATATAAACTGCAGAACATATGAAAAATTATGGCGAAAATGAGCACCTCACTCTACCCATCACCTTGATTAATATTAAGTTGGCTCGTTTAATTTTCATGAATGTTTTAAAAATGTTTACTTTGTAACTTTGACAAAAATATGAAAATTTCAAAAAAATTGAACCAACCACTTTTCCAGAAAAAATCATTGGTTATATAGCAGTTTGACAAACACTAATTTTAATCATTGGGAAGCTTAATATTTCCTTAATAATAACTTAACAACTTGATTAAAACGTTTAACTGGTTTTACACGGTTATCTCCCTGTAGTGTGATGTACCACCTTAACAGACAATAAAGCTGATATATTGCAACTTTCAAACATTTGATCACACGAATATCACGTTTGGTTCCTCAGAGACACATGTTTAAATGAGACATGTTTACCATTAACAATATTACACAAATCATATTTGTAATTTGTAATTTTAAGATACATGATTCAATTCAATATAACACTATGGAAAATTCGAAATTGCCGACAGACATTACAGCATCAATATATTTTAATCGACCACCTTTAAAACTATCAAGGCAAATAGATGAAAGCAACACACAAGGATTGATAAATGAAGATGTAAGACAATTGCAAAAGTCATTTAAACGTGTAAGAGTCTTTTGTTCAAAACTGCAACTTGTTAATCAATCACACATAGCGCTTGAATAAAATGCATGATTGACGTATGAAATTGTTATTCTTTTGTTTAATATGATGGATCCTTTTTGGATATACTTCACTTCGTTGGACAATAGTGCACATTATTTAAATAATAGGGCACTTCATATGAAAGCATACCAGATGGTATTTCTACCATAATTTGCCTCTAAATTTATGCATGATTAAACAATTAACTTTACAAAAAAATGCATTGTTTACGTTGTATGTTTTGACGTACATTGTAATACATTTTGTAAACTGTTACGGTTTTGTTATTTTTTTTTCCTTTTAAATATGATTAGATTATATCTTGTTCATAAGTTATACATTTAATTTTCGTTAGATTTGACATCTCATCCATGTGGTCAATACATTTAAAAATAGCATAGTTTTATTTATTTTGAAGTGATGGGAATTGTAACCTTACTGCGTTTATATGTTTCGAAATTTGTGTCAATCACATCAGTTATATTTTGCTATGATTCAAATTTGGATTAAGCATTGTCCTTTTAGATTTTATATGAATAACACGTGTTAAAGCCTTCGGAATTTAGGCCTATTCAATCACTGAAGAGCAGTTACTGTCAAAATGTCAGTACGATGACTGAAATTGATATCATTCATGCAATTAATAAATAAGGGAATTATACATAACTGTGAACAAAATCCATTGAGAAAAAACAATCCGGACATGATAAAGGGTGTTCACCAATTTGATCTAAAAATCCAGAATCCTTATGTGTGACAAAATAATAAGTCGAAATAAAAAAAAAAATTACAACAAAAAACCAACAAACCACTGCATTACAGTTTCTTGACTTTCGACAGGCATACATAGAAGGCTGTAGGTCAAACATGCTTGAAAGCATTTAACCTTCCCCACTCTGGGACAGTGATGAAACCCCATAAAGTAAGGAACAACCATAAAAAATCAGTTGAAACTGCCTCGACTCATAAGATTGTCACGAAGCACAAAAACCTACCATGATAAAGACAATATAGTTAATGGATTAATAATGTGCTCTCATAATAAAGAATCAAGCATCACACATCAAACGGTATGCATGCAATATGGAATAAACAGTCTAAGAATGTCTAATGTACATATACATTTCCATATTCCTTTTTTTCAAAAAAATACCCATTCAACATAACTGTATGTGCCGTAAATTTAGAAAAGTTTGGACAGAGTACATATATTTAACATGTTAAAAGACCTTCTGATTTCCATTTTTAAAGACACCAGTTAAACCGTGTAGAACGCCACATGCAGGTTGTGGGCTATGCTTGACGCGTGGTGGCGGTTTAAAGCGGAGAAAAAATGTTAATGAAAGTTCAAGTATTAAAATGTCTCTGGTCAGAATTGTTAGTTCCAAATAATGTGTTTCACGGAAGGAACCTAACCGTAATCTATTTCCAGCAAGCAGGAGCACAAGTTTTCAGAGCTCAGTTTTCTCAAACACCTATCCCTAGTTTTTCGTGTTGCAGATTCTGAGGCTTCATTTGCAAGTTTCATGGAATTTGACCAAATACCAGCGTCTTAGTTACAATGTATTGGTTTTAAAGCTACATTAACATCAAAATTGGGGTGTCAGATTTTGCGTTTTAAAGGGGTAGAGAAATTTGCATATAATTCAGCTTTTATCTGATACCTTGTCATTCAAACACACCTACTATGTTATGATGACAAATTACAAACTAAATGTATTGTTTTTGGTCCAGAATTAAGTCTTTTACGTTATTTGCATGTTTAATGTAAGAAATAGAGAAAACGACTCAAAGTAGACTAATAATGGTACACGTGGCAATATTTCTTTTTTTTTAATATTCTTTTACTGACCTGATAATTGAGAACTTTTCACTTGTAGCGATATTTAAGTCTGAAACGGTCATTTTGGTCTGAGCAAGTCTTCATCTACTGGATTTACTGCTAGAGAAAAACGTCGCTGTCACGATATACCGTGTTTAGTCCGTTCAGTCAAGTCATGATAGACAAGACAGATTGCTCTTGCATCCGATTTAGACTTGATGAGACCTTGTTCAGATCAAATCAGACCAAAGGTAAATATGCTTTTAGATTTTGTAAGATCGGGTTCAGTGGTGTAACGATTCACAAAAATTCGGATGCAAAACGGGCGACATATTCCCTGTGTTTATCTTGGGATGTTCCCCCTTTATGAATAAAATCGGCAAAGAATGGAGGGCATTCTTTTGTGGTCTTATATTGTATGTCTATTAATCAAAGAACGTTTGCAAACTTGCAATTATTTTTGTTCCAATTATTTCAAGTCAACATTTAATTGGTTATAAAGGAAAATAATAATTGTTGTAACCATAAAAGTGTGTAAGTAATAAAAACATAGTCGTCTTTTCTGACATTAAGTAATTTTTTTGATTCGAGCGTCACTGATGAGTCTTTTGTAGACGAAACACGCGTCTGGTGTAAATATAAAATTTCAATCCTGATATCTATGATGAGTTTAGTTAGTATATATTAATTCCGTCTGTAAAGATATAATGGTAAGTAAACAATATCAAAAATGTTCTTAAAGGGAAATCACACTATTTATACTACTAATAATAATTCATTGACATTTTGCATGTAGACAGATCATACTTAATAAGATATTTTAGGCGAACAAAAAATTGGGGTCACCGATGTTGTTTTCGAGATATGACGTCATCAAAACTTAAAGAATCGCGTTATAATGAAATATAGAAATACCGCTCTAAATTGTTAATTGCTATTTATAATAGATTTTTCTTGAAATAAAAAAAATCTACTAATGTTTTTCCCTTCAAACTTCTGCAAAAGTTGCAGCTTCAGGGGAGATTTTAATAGCATAAATAAAAAAGGGGGGTCACCGATGTTTTAAATCCGCTAAAACGGAAATAATCTTTATTATTGAATTTTGGCGGGAACTATAACCTTTTAACGTTATAGAACGACGTTGCTGGCATAACAGCATTTCTTGCAAAGTTTGGGTTGAATTAAACCTTTTCACTACAAAATATAATATCATTTTTGAACATTTTTTAAGGTATTTTGATTATTCATTGATATCTTTATCCATCTATCGAATCGTTAAACATAGATACAATAACAGTTTATTATAAAGTAATTGTCAAAGTTGAAGTCATTTCATTGTTTTAATTGCATTTGTTGTATGGGGAAAACGAATGTTTGCCTCATGCCGTATTATAGAAATAATGTTCGGCTTCCAGATAAATAATCTTCTACCTCGGAAGACTGAGGGTATCCGGGCTAAAAAGTAACACGTTCCTTTTAGACTGCAGGCAGAATAATTTCATTACCATAATTTCACTAGCTTGTCAAATTCGCACCGGGAAGATAAAACCTGAAATGCCTTGTTAAAAATGCCACAAACTCAGCACGTTAAACGAAACCTATTTTCGGTAGGAATTTAAAATTGGTTTCGTAATTACACAACGCTTCATAATTTATTCGAACTGTGGAAACCAAATTGTTTTCTGAGTTCTATCATCCCGCACCCATTTTTCATACATCGTTTCATGTTCATTGTACATCATATGTTCAATGTTCATCGCCTGTGTATTAAAACTATATGTATTACGTATATTCTATTACCGTTCGATTAATCGCTCAACGTTGGTATGTTATGAGAAATACAATGCATCTCATAATTTAGAGTTAATTGACAATAAGATACACATCGCCATATTGATATCAGGAACATATAATGTTCCCAGTAAATATGTATTTAAAAAAATCTTTTAATTTGTAATAAACGGATCTAGTTTTTTTTTCTTGTTCTGCTACATCTATCCGTGTTTCTGTGGACATGTCGATATATTTTATCTAACTCTAGTTTCTGGTCGAGCCTTCGACTTTAGTCGAAAAAGCGAGACATAGCGATCCTACTTTCCGGCGTCGTCGGCGTCGTCGTCGTCGGCGGCGGCGGCGTCCACAAATATTCACTCTGTGGTTACAGTTTTTGAAGTTTTAATAACTTTTTTAAACTATCCTGGATTTCTACCAAACTTGGACAGAAGCTTGTTTATGATCATAAGATAGTATCCAGAAGTAAATTTTGTAAAAAAAAATCTATTTTTTCCGCATTTTACTTATAAATTGACTTAGTTTTTCTGCCAGGAAATAATACATTCACTCTGTGCTTAAAGTTTTTAAGATTTCAATAACTTTCTTAAACTATCCTGGATATGTACCAAACTTGGACAGAAGCTTGTTGATGATCAAAAGCTTGTATCTCGAAGGAAATTTTGTCAAAATTTTGTACCTGTTTATCCGTATTTTACTTATAAATGGTCTTAGTTTTTCTTCCAGTTAACATTACATACAGTATGCAGTTAAAGTTTTTAAAACATTTATTAGATCCATAAACTATCCTAGATTAATACCAAACTTGGACAGAAGCTTCTTACAACTAAAAGATAATATCGAGAGGAATATTTTTATTGATTGTTTTCCTCATTTTTGTTGAGCCTGCGATTAACAGCAAAAGTAGGCGAGACACTGTGTTCCGTGGAACCCTTACGAATTTTTTTATCAGATGACAAATGAGAGTGTGGATAACCTTTGATGTAGAATAAGAGTTCGAGTTCCAGCTAAATTCAGAGTTAAAGTTCCAGTTTTATTTTTAGTTCGAATGTTAATTCGAGTAAGAGTTCTAGTTAAAGCTCGAGTTTCACTTATAAAATTCCGATTTATACTGTAAGATAGAATAAATTCTGGTAAGAGTTAAAATTTTGAGATCTGAGATCCGATGAAATTAAAAGAAAGATTGCAGTTTCTATTTGCTGTTGGTGCACCTCTCTTTCTTGAATTGTATATTCTTTTATCACATTTATGTTTCAGTATGGTATAGCCTATATACTTTTTTTTGCCAAAACTGATTAATGATAGGTAATTTGAAAATAACTGATTGATTGTGTGTGCCACTTTCAGCACTCTGCTATATCATGTTAGCCATTTTTTTTTTTAAAGAACCAAGGTATCAAGAGTAAATCAGCTACCTTTGTATT